TTTCAATTTATTGATTCCTGAAAACCAGTAGTGCTTACCTTAATGAGCAGTGGGTTATCCGTTGTCAGTGTAACATAGGGAACAAACGGCCCCAGGACAATTCTACCAAATGTGAAGATAACCGCAAATGAAAGCTGCATGAAAAAATGTATAAATATACCCATCAAACTCTGTACAATAACTTGTGTTTTGCATACACTGGAGCCTCTGTATCCAATATTCAGAGAGAAAAATCACAGACATTTTATTGAACAAGAAGTCAACAATAGTAAAAAGAGTACTATTTTTCTGGAGAAAGGAATAGCCTTTGTGACTCACATCAGCAGAAAAATTTAGATTTGTATCCCTGTAACCAAGTTCCTTAAGAATCTCCCTCAAATGCAAGAAAGGGCTAGACATCTCTGTTAAACACAATGTGGTCACCATCACTAAGCCACACTGCATACAAGCCGATATCATATTAAATTCCACAATAAAATGATGAGCATTGTGTGCATCCATGCATGCATGCACATGCTGTATGTACTCGGGAATCGAGAGGTTTCACAATGAAGTGCTATATTTGGTTTATTGGACAGCAAATATTACAGAAGTCAACAGACCATGTTTTAGAGCTTGCATGTAAACAAGCAAACCTTTGAACTCCTACGGAAACGATCTACACATATTAGAAACTTTCTTAAATGTACATACATATGTACGTACATACAGATTGTACACACAAATGCATACATCATGTACTACTGAGCCCTAGCATACATGTATCTACTGAGCCCTTGCGTACATTTGTTCATCTGTTCCACAAATGAATCACAGTTGTTGATTGTCCTGTTTCCCGAGGAACTCAGACCATGATTAGTAGCTAAACAGAAACTTGAAAGAATTTCTTTAATCCTACTAATTCATAGGAGAGAAAACATAAATTTCCCCAAAAGAATTCTAAACAAGCCCCTTAACAGAAGATTGGAGAGGAGAAAACTAGTCCAACATTGCTAGAGATGGATTAGACGCTTGAGACTATCTACTCCTTTTGTAAACCATCCTCTATAATGTAATCATTTTCTATGTTTTTATCATCAATGGAAATTCCAAAGCGTACAAAATGAAATTCTAGAATGACTTCCCTGTCAATTGGTAAAAAAATTCTAAACAACATAAACACAAAGATTAGTATACAGTTCCACTGATTGCACAAGAAACACGGTGGGTATGAAGTACCTCCAAATGATCAATCTAGCACGCTCCTCATTGAAACGGTCCAAAATCTCAAAAGAAACATGAGAGGCGGCACAATGTACGCAAGCTCGTCAATATGCCACCCTACAATCTCGCTAAAAGAAATCTCCCTTCAAATTTCATTTTAAGTTCATTGAACAAACTAAGGCCGTGATGTTAGTGCAGTGTAATCCATTGGGATGTATGTAGATGTATTAATGATGTCAGACTAATTGTTTGGCCTATATTCTGAAGGCATACTTGTCCATATCAAGAGGTATAATAGATAGAAGACTACTTCAAGCTCATAAATATTTCCAATCATTTCAATCAATTAACAGAATTCAAGGGATATACACATTTCTATAAAGTATAAATTAGTCCTTGAAAACTCAGGTGAGTCCACTAGGAACCTGCTTAAGTCATTCAGGCTAGTCAGGGTTCTGAGCTCAGGATTACACGTGGGATCAAGCCGAATTTGCGCAGTTTCCACTACTTTATTTATTTGTTTTTTGGACAGACTTGTCAAGTAACTAAGAGACTCAGCTGAGTCCGTCAGACATGACTTCAGACTCATGATCCTTTTGAGTTCAGACCCAAGTTTGTGTTTTCTAACACTGTTGTATAAGGTAGATAAACATGACAACTACCATGACACTGTTTCTAAACATTGCTATTTAAAAACATGATACCATGCTATAAAAGCTAACTATGCTGTTTGGGTGGTGTATTCTTTTTGTACATCAAATTGATTAAAAGACCCACTGCAATTAATTTTTGACAACTCGTCAGGTAACACATCACAGTATCATATGAGTGATTAAATAACATGCATATGCATGTGTATATAACTACAAATATGCATGTCAAACTATCCATTCATATATTTTTGTGACTATATGTATGTATGTGATATGTAAGAGAATGCTTACCATGTATGTATGTGATATGTAAGAGCATGCTTACCATTCTATATACAAGGGCAGCACCAAGGCCAATGATACTGACAATATGATGGATCAAATTATCAATGCTGATTTGAGTATCAAAGAGGCAACAAATGAAATCGTATATCAAATAAGAGAGGGTCACAGCCATTGCACGCTTCTGCAAAATTTCGAGAACCACCTATATTAAAATAATGGCCAAAGTGCTCCGTGAATACAAGTAGAACTAGAGAGAGTTTATATCTCTAAGTTGATTTCCAAGACAAACAGGAATTTTGAAATTTTGATAACCATGGCTTACAAAAGTAAAAGAAAATGATATTAAACACTGGCATACACACTACACACACTATAGTGAATTTGGGATTCTTCAAGGACATAACTCAAAAAATCCAAGAAATTGATAAGCTTACTTGGAGATAACATCTCATGCTCAGCAATTATGTATATAATCAGTCAAAACAGGAAAACCCCCACTTTTCCACAGCCATTTGTGAAATAATACGTAGTATCGGCTCCTGGAACTGCCCCTTATCTACATAATATTTCTGTAGAATTATTTAATATACCACGCTAATAATGCTTATATGGCTCGGAAGAATTGATTACTAGTGTTGCATGTTCGACAATCCAATTTGAATAAATGACGTCATTTGCTATTAAGTTCTACCTGTTAACAAAATAGTCCAAAATCAAATTTATAAACAAGTGTTCAATAAAATTCAATCCCCTTAAAAAACAGTCTGAAAACAGCATATATAGCACTCAATATGAACTAAACAAAGGAAAAGGAGACACACCCATAAGACATCATAAATTTACGAAGAAAGGGGGGCTCCATTTTTTCAATAACTCTTCAGTTAGAAACAAAACTCCAATTTGAAAGCAAGCAAGACAGCCTGGTTACTGCCCTTAGAAGAGAGACAAGAGACTATTATAAGAACTAAATTGTGGGATAATCACACTAACTCTCACTCAAGAACTAACATTCATCGAAGAAAACAAAAAAGATATACCTGTGAGGTAGTAGGAGGTGACACCAAAGGACACAAAGGGCACCTCCAATCTTGAACGCTAAGACAGGATAAAATAACTGCTAGAAAAACATGGACTGTTGAGACAAGGCGATTGCAGAAGTCAAAGGAACGTTTTGGCAGGACACTCCTGACTAGGATAAAAACTGCACTCCAAGAAATTACTCCAAATAGAACCCAGACCACAATGTTATCTTCCATTTCTCCCTCCTCCTCTCTAATCTATGGGCTTTAATGATACAGAAATTGGGAACGAGTTTGAGTTTCCTCCACCATTAATTCAAATATACTCAGTCGAAAAAAGGCCTGAATTTCTTTATCTGATCCAGCTTTCTACTTTTTCTCAATTTTGACTTCCAACAGCTTGATTTTGCTCCACTGCACATTAAATAAGATACGAACTGAATAACCATGTTTTCTCTATACTTTTTATAGATACCTCTTAATGAAAAGAAATAATAGCAACATATATCTTCAGATGATTCATGAAATTCAAATATTGAAAACATAAGAACTTTAAGAGATTAAACAAAAAGAATGTGACCTCTAATACATCCCCCTTTATCCTGATCATTTTCTATTTTTGCTTTGATCATAAAAGCATCACTGGAATCAGATATCAGGACAATTTGGCCTTCAATTGTTTGCAACCCATAGCTTTTGTTGCAAACAAATTTATGAAAGAGATAAAAATACAAATAGAAACAATTCCAACAAAATTAATCTGCCGCAAGCTAATCACCCAAAAGAATAAAATATCTGCTAAAATGAACTCAGAACTACACATGCAAAACAATAAATTAGATATCAGTTCTTGTAATTTTTAAGCTATGGAATACCAATATAGAAACTAAGAATCCAACTAGAATCATAGAGAAACACCTGTAAGATAGTATCCATAATAAACTCCTCTATAACTAGCACAACCAAGCATGCTACTATTAATTTTATGCATTCTTGGATGCAATTATAACAAGGACACAGAAGATTCACATCACCCACTGTTGGAATAGGCCCCTTGGCTAAGTCATTGAAGCATAAGGGATGAAATAGGCCCAAGGTTTGAAACCTGGCTTGCCCACACCAAAAATAATAAACAGAACCAGTAAAGAAACTTTGATTTAAAATGAAATATAATTTTCATTCATCATTGAAAGTAAGGTCATCTCTGAATACAAAACTGAACAGAAGAAGCACTCCTAATTTTGCTCCTCATATTTCTCAATTTTGGAATTAACTGTCCCAAAAAATTCAAATTTGTACTTAAAAATAACCTATGATCAGAGAAAACAAAGAGCAGAAAATACCCCAACATATTATATGGCAGGAATACTGTCCTTGCAACTCCATTGCATGATCTTTGTCAAGTTCAAGTTGATTATATCAAAGTCAGCTGCAAATTTCTGGGACACTTAGCTAACAAAATACCACGGTAAAACAAAAAGACCCACCAGACCAAAGGAAATTGCATGGGAATTTAACTACAAATTAAACTCCTCTCTTGAAAAGAAAACTACAAAATCTAGAGAGAGAAACCAACCACAGGCATATTGCATGAACATAAGCAAAAACACAACAACAATAACGACAACAACTATAAGCATAACAACAACTACTACTTTCCAATGAAAAACAGAGGAACTGACAATAAATAAATAAATAAATATATAACCTAAGAAGAGAAAGTTAAAACTCTAAAGAGAGAATCTCATCAAAAAATAAATCAAACACTTGAGAATTAAGAACTTTAGAGAGAGAAACTCACCACAAATAAGATGATGGAGAAAAGAAAACACATAAAACTAGAGAGAGAAACTCACCACATATAAGATGATGGAGAAAAGCAAACACATAAAAGAGGTCCCCTGTAATACCAGAGGAAAACCCATATAAAATTTGGGTTATTGATGGCGCATTAATAAATGATGGTTGGGTTTCGGTGAAGTAGGTCACATACCTCTGTTTCCCCTCCAAAGAACTTCATGTTTAGCTGCCGCCATAAATATTCTTTTTTTATTTTCTGTTTTTAACTGTAAGCATGAATTTGAATGCCACCATTACTATTCTTTTTTTATTTCCTTTTTTTTTAACTGTGAGCATGAATTTGAATCGGAAAAGAAGAAGCAAGAGAGAGGACCCGGCATTGGGAAAAGGGCATGATGTACTGCTTATGACTTGACAATTCATTATTTTAATAAGATTAATTGTGAGACCATATAAAGTCGTGAGATGAACTTACGAAGAAAGTTTTAAGATGGGAGACCTTTTCGTGTTCATCTCTTTAAAATGGGAAACCTCCGGCTTTTTTTTTTCTAACTTTGTGTCACATCCAAGCTGTCGAGGTTTACATCGGATATTTTATAAGTGTCACTTTTATGTGATGTACTGCTTATATGACTTGACAATTCATTATTTTAATAAAATTAATTGTGAGACCATATAAAGTCGTGAGATGAACTTACGAAGATAGTAGACTTAAATGACGGTTTTTTTTTCGTGTTCATCTCTTTAAAATGGGAAACCTGCTGCTTTCTTTTTCTATAACTTTGTGTCACATCGAAGCTGTCGAGGTTCACATCGGATATTTATAAGTGTCACTTTCATGTCACAAAGGTCGGTTGGTCTCAACAAATTCCCATTCCAATTGAAAGTTGGCATGAAAAAAATCTGTTCTTCTTATAAAGAGGGAAGATTATGGAGGAAAGAAAGAGAGTATTATATAAATTAGAAGAAGGGTTTGATAAAAAACCAATAGAGAGTTAGCTGGTATTCCAAAGGAATGACGTGGATTGATGGAAATTGTGCGTTATGAGAAGTGGATTGAAACCCGGAACAATTAAATATAAGGGAAAATTGGTTAGTCAATTTGCAATGCTACATTCTAAACTCAATTCCTACTAAAGTTATAGGGCCTTTTCCCCACTAATTCACTCATCCTAAGCTCAACTCTAATTCACTCATCCTAAGCTCAATTCTTATTAAGGTTATAGGGCCTTTTCCCCACTAACTCACTCAAAAAACAAGCGGGTGAGGAGAGAATTTTAGAATGTCCAAAGTATTATGGTTATAGGGCCCTTTTCCCACTAACTCACTCAAAAAACAGACAGGTGAGGAGAGAATTTTAGAATGTCCAAAGAGATTGAGAGAGAGAGTTAAGAGCCCATGAGCTCAATTCCCTACTAAGGGAATGTCCAAAGATATTGAGAGAGAGAGTTAGGAGCCCATGCGCTCAATTCCTACTAAAAGTAGGGGCCCTCTCCCACTAATGCACCCCAAAAAAAAATGGGGGTGGGAGAGAATTTTAGAATATGTCCAAAGAGCTTGAGAGAAAGAGAGTGTGTGTGGAGCCATGAAAATCGAGACAAATAACCCAAAAAACTGCACAACTATTTTTATATTTTGAAAATAAAATAAACTTTATTCCATAAATTTACCTTATAAATCGTAAGATGCCATTCCAAGAATATCCAAGATGGTTGCCCAAAATGTCCCTTACGTTCACTGTGGCTTTTCAAATAACCAGAAGACCACTTAAACTTTAATAAAAAACAAAGTGAAAAAGAATTTCTTTTTTTTGAGGACACGTACGACAACTATGCCCATTCTAGAGACCCATATATTTCACATAGGGCTGGCATGGGCGGGGCCATCCTTGGTCCTAGGTCAGCCCTAGTCCCCAAGCATGGACTGGATCAGAGAGGCTTTGGCCCAGGTTCATCCCAAGCCCTATCTGGGCTAGGCTGGGTCTATTCGAGTTGGCCTGGGACCTGACCTGGCCCAACACTACCATCAAGCCGTAGATGCCCAGCCCTCGGGTTACATTATCTGACCCAGGCCCCACCTTTTTTAGGGTAAGAGTGAAAAGGCCAACGGGAGCTACCGGCCAATTGCCGCTCCTAATTTCACGTCAAAAATATTATAATAAGATATAGGACCTAGCGGCTGTGACACTCGAATTCTATGTGGGTCCACATGACTATATTTTTTTGCCATTGCAATCTCAGGGTTTGATGAGAAAATTTAGGGTTCGATTAATGTTGAGAATGTTAGATAACAAGTTTGCACGTTTGTAAAATAGGATATTGATAAGGCAAGAGATCTTTTCAATTTTGGCATCCCTCTCACCTCTTTAAAATTTAAAAGAGTGGGAGATGTCTCGGGGAAATAAGATTTAAGATAAGTAGGTAATGCCAACCACCTAATTTTACCTAATTTTCTTTGGGTGCGGTTTGTATGGAACGTAGGCTCTAAATAATCAAATTAGAGCCTACATTCAAATAGTATCGAGAAATATGGTTTAAATACTAAAAATCTTTGTGATAGCCTTAAATTTTAGTTTCATATTTATTTATAAAGTTTAAAGCTTTAAAACTAGTGTAGATCGACAGACCTATAAAAACTAGAAAATCTTGAAAATTGATGGTCTAAAAATGCATTACAAAATACAGTATTTCCAAAGCTTGAAATCCATTTTTTTTTTCATGTCCATGCATCTTGATGTCAAGATGATCAATTTGAAGATATTTGGGTATCAAAACAACCTCTTCTAGTGAAAGTTTTGAGGTAGGCTCAAATTTGATTGTTTAGAGCATCGGCTGTAAATAAATGTTTCCCATTTTCTTTTAATAAATGCTACATGTCTTTTTATTCATGCGTTTTGGGATACATACATCATTTAGAAAAATATTATGAGTATTTTTTTAATATACTCAATATTTTTAGACACTCACCCTAGTTTTGTAATAAAATTTTTATTTAATAAGGGTATTTTTCTAATCACCAGGTACATGGTAGATAACTCTATAAAAAAATAGTGACATTTATTAGTGGTTAAGAAGTAATTGCTTCATGTGGATGAAGTCACAGTCATGTCATTCTCCACTATATATAATAAATGCTCAATTCTACCTCTATTTAATTACCTGAAATATCCATGGACAAAAATGTTACTATATGGTGGAGTAAGGGTATTTATTAAGCGTCTAAAAATTTTAAGTACATTACGTAAATACTCATATGTATGAGTACCCTACGTAACCCTTTGGAAAAAGGTAAATATTAGCTACTAGGAACTCAGAGCTGGTTTTGGAAGTTGTCACCCATTGAACCACTATGTTCGGTGTTTCCGACCTATTCCAATCGGTTTTGTTGAACTCACAAGAAAATATCTCAAAAAATTAAAACAACAAAATTTCGAAGTGTTAGGTTTTATGAAATTATTTGATGAATATGGTACACCGAGGAAATTTTTGATAAACCTAAAAACTAAGAGTCCTATTCCAAGCCCCATTGTCATTTCATAGTCTAAAATAGGGTAAATAACAATAATGACATCATAGGAATACTTAAATATAAAAAATAAGTGTATAAATCAAAACATAGAATGTAATTTCCGTTGGGTTTATGTGACCTTTAAAGGCCTTATGAGAGCTTGTATGAGCACTTTATATAGTGAAACATAAACTCAGTGGGAGTATGGTCCTTTTGTGGACCATACTAGGCAAATGTTATTTGCTGATATTCAGACTAGGCTCGACAAGCTAGGCCAGCCGAGGTTTTAAAAAACCCAAGATACCGGAGCATAGAGATCTATCGAGAAGGGTTTAGTGGATTATCCCTTGATGAGGTTGGAGTATGCCCAGATGAAAGCCAAGGGATTGTGTGGCCCTTGTATGTGATGAATAGCATTTAGAGACAGAGCTAAAACCTAATCATTATATCGTCACATAACATGTACATAGATAGCCGTTTCGAGATTCACCAATGAGGGTGAAGCGTGTACATGTGCGAGAGATTACTCCTATGCAACATAGAGTCATGGTTACATCATGGTCTGGAGGATCATGATTTTTGTCTCTAAGGGAGAACCTGAAATCCATAAACTGGGATTGCATCCCCTGGTCGATTGGCTGACTTTAATGATGTAACCATGAGCCCCCGCAGTGGACTGTGGGTTCATGGGAACTGCTAGGTCAGTTTGAGAAAACAAGGCGGATCGCGATTCGCAGTTGAAGGTGAAGTGCGCCCATGTAATGATAATTACCTAGATCTAACGGATCTGATTCCCATCAAAATTAATTAATTTTATGTTATGTGATTTTTAGAATATTTATTTGAATTTTTGTGAATCTTCTGATATTTTATTTTTGTCATTTGGATTTATAAATTAAGAGAAATTAATTTTTTAATGTTTTAAATAAAATATAAGATTTAAAAATTCTAAATATGAAATAAAATATTTTTAAAAAATATATGGGACCTCCATAAAATATGGGGTCTAAAATTTAAAAAGATGTGGATTAGGTGGGGCCCACACGTGGCCACCAAAAGGGGGGCACGCCCCACCCATTCATGTAATATTCTTGGGAATAATGTTTATCCTTTTGGTTGGCTTATCTTTTTATGTATAACCAACTTATGTGATAAGATTGAATATTTGAGATATTTACTAAATCTTTGAATCAATCTTGGTTGATCTAATAATTAACTATTGGATATATTAAAATATAAGTTTTCCTTATTTGATGGGAATAGACTTAGGAAAGGGAGGATAAGGCTCTAGCTCATCTTTTTGAATCTTGATGGTGGATCAAAGAGATGGATGGCTCAAATCTCTCACCCCACAAGTCTCCTTAGATCGACGGTTGAGATTTGACCCTACGAATTGAGGCAAAATCAGTAGCATAGAAAGAAGGTCTCCCCTTATAAAATGAGATACGTATTCTCTTCTCTCTCTTTAAGAATTCTCTCTTCCTACCCCAAAATTTAGCTCTCTCTGGAAAGGGCTTTGGATTACCAAAGGGAGACATGCATCAATTTTATCTCTCTCCAAGTTGCACCATGTTTTGGTGACACGCATCACCTCTGTTATTTATGGGTGCAACCCCTTGCTAGTAGATCTCTCTCTCTCTCTTTTCATATTCATCTCTCATCTCTCTAAAATCAAGTTAAGAGGCTTATCAAGATTAAGCCATTAAGTGGATTTTGCTATAGTAGGGAAATCAACATACCGATCATAGATCTCGAGCACCATCGGAAGGAGGAAACTCGGCGTGGGATGTATTAAGCCCAGTTGAGGTAATATCCGGCAATTTTAATTTTTAAAATATTTATTTTTCTTCTCATAAAGCAATAAAGTCTAGTTTTGTTTCTTGAATAAAGAATTGTATTTGAAGATGTAACAATTGAGAACCGATTTTATTTTTATTTTATTTATTTCAAGAGTGGTTCGATTATAATTGGACATTGTAAGTGATCTTGCAAGTGTAGGGATAAAGGATTTTTTTTTATATC